GCGTCCAACGCAATCGTCCGTGCGCGCATCAGCCCACCGATACCTTGTTTAGATTTCGGAAAACGACACAGAACCCCGGGCTGCTTGGCGGTGACACTATCTCTGCAGCTAACATCTCGTCCCACCGCCCGTTTCACTTGCTGCTCCTCCTCAGCTGGACTCGTACGATACACGCGTTTTGGCGAATGGGGGCTGCGTCCCCCCCCCCGTATCAATGCGGCGATGCAACAGGGAAGTGGGGCCGATTTTAGAATTTCAACTTGACCGAAAACTTTCAGGAAGTGCAGCAGTAACGGCTTCGATTTGCACCGTTGCACCTCGGGACAATTCCGTGTTCTTCTCGGCGAAGGTTTTTCCCCGCCCGCGTTTCGCCCGACGAGGCGTTTTCCTCCACCCGCTGCCGCCCGCGGCAGGCCCTGCCGCTGGGTCGCCTATCACAGCGCCGCCTTGAACCGTAGCCGTCGTTCCCACCCGCCCATTCAGCGCCCTTCCGGAAACGGCTGCTGACCCGGGTCGGCCGCGCGTAACCGCTCGTGGTGTCCCGAGGGGGAAACCAACGTTTGCCTGCCCGGCATCCTCTTCAAAAAGTCGCTTCCAAACAGGCTCGGCGGGAGGGGGTCGGGGTCGGGGTCGGGCCCCCCCCCCCCCCCCCATCATCGCGAACACCCCCCCCCGATCGTTAACGCAGGTCGGAACCCGGCCCACGGTCCCCGTGCCGCGCCCCCCCTCCGTTGGCCGCGACATTGCTGGCTCGTGAACGGTGCTACGCGGCGGCTACCTGGCGGCCGCATGCTATCATCAACTCTGAAATGATAGCGGCCGGTGTCGGCTCGAAGCTCTCGGACCCCTCTGCTCCGCCAGTGGTGGTGGTGTTAGGAGTGGTGGTGATGATGGCGGTGATGGTAGCGGTGACGGTGGTGATGTTGTGATGGTAGTGGTGGTGAGTAGTAGTGGTGGTGTTAGTAGTGGTGATGATGGCGGTGATGGTAGTGGTGACGGTGGTGATGTTGAGAGTAGTAGTAGTGGTGTTAGTAGTGATGGTAAGCAGTAGTAGTAGTGGTGGTGGTGATGTGATATTAGTGGTGAGTCGTAATGGTTGTGTTAGTAGTGGTGATGATGGCGGTGATGGTAGTGGTGACGGTGGTGATGTTGATGGTAGTGGTGAGTAATAGTGGTGGTGTTAGTAGTGGTGATGATATTGGTGATGGTAGTGGTGACGGTGGTGATGTTGATAGTAGTGGTGAGTAGTGGTGGTGTTAGTAGTGGTGAGTAGTAGTGGTGGTGGTAGTAGTGATGGTAAGTAGTAGTGGTGGTGGTGGTGAGTAGCGGTGATGGTCAGTAGTCATAGTGATGGTGACTAGTAGCAGTGGTTGGTGGTGATGTTGATAGTAGTGGTGAGTAGTAGTGGTGGTGTTAGTAGTGGTGATGATGGCGGTGATGGTAGTGGTGACGGTGGTGATGTTGATGGTAGTGGTGAGTAGTAGTGGTGGTGTTAGTAGTGATGGTAAGCAGTAGTAGTAGTGGTTGGTGGTGATGTTGATAGTAGTGGTGAGTAGTAATGGTGGTGTTAGTAGTGGTAGTGGTGATGATAGTGGTGATGGTAGTGGTGACGGTGGTGATGTTGATAGTAGTGGTGAGTAGTAGTGGTGGTGTTAGTAGTGGTGATGATGGCGGTGATGGTAGTGGTGACGGTGGTGATGTTGATGGTAGTGGTGAGTAGTAGTGGTGGTGTTAGTAGTGATGGTAAGCAGTAGTGGTGGTGGTGGTGGTGATGTGATATTAGTGGTGAGTAGTAGTAGTGGTGGTGTTAGTAGTGATGGTAAGCAGTAGTAGTGGTGGTGATGTGATATTAGTGGTGGGTAGTAGTGGTGGTGTTAGTAGTGATGTTGTTAGTAGTAGTAGTAGTGGTGGTGGTGATGTGATATTAGTGGTGAGTAGTAGTGGTGGTGTTAGTAGTGATGTTGTTAGTAGTAGTAGTAGTGGTGGTGGTGGTGATGTGATATTAGTGGTGAGTAGTAATGGTGGTGTTAGTAGTGGTGATGATAGTGGTGATGGTAGTAGTGACGGTGGTGATGTTGATGGTAGTGGTGAGTAGTAGTAGTGGTGGTGGTGGTGATGTGATATTAGTGGTGAGTAGTAGTGGTGGTGTTAGTAGTGATGGTAAGTAGTAGTAGTAGTGGTGGTGGTGGTGGTGATGTGATATTAGTGGTGAGTAGTAATGGTGGTGTTAGTAGTGATGGTAAGCGGTAGTGGTAGTAGTGGTTGGTGGTGATGTTGATAGTAGTGGTGAGTAGTAGTGGTGGTGTTAGTAGTGATGGTAAGTAGTAGTAGTAGTGGTTGGTGGTGATGTGATATTAGTGGTGAGTAGTAGTGGTGGTGTTAGTAGTGATGGTAAGCAGTAGTGGTAGTAGTGGTGGTGATGTGATATTAGTGGTGAGTAGTAGTGGTGGTGGTGTTAGTAGTGATGGTAAGCAGTAGTGGTAGTAGTGGTGGTGATGTGATATTAGTGGTGAGTAGTAGTGGTGGTGGTGTTAGTAGTGATGTTGTGAGTAGTAGTGATGGTGGTGATGTTGATGGTAGTGGTGAGTAGTAGTAGTGGTGGTGTTAGTAGTAGTGGTGGTGGTGGTGATGGTAGTGGTGACGGTGGTGATGTTGATGGTAGTGGTGAGTAGTAGTAGTAGTGGTGGTGTTAGTAGTAGTGGTGGTGGTGGTGATGTGATATTAGTGGTGAGTAGTAGTGGTGAGTAGTAGTGGTGGTGTTAGTGGTGGTGGTGATGTGATATTAGTGGTGAGTAGTAGTGGTGAGTAGTAATGGTGGTGTTAGTGGTGGTGATGTGATATTAGCGGTGAGTAGTGCCCGCGGCAAGCCAGACTCCCCCCCCCCCTTCTCCGCCGAATGTCCGACTCGGCCCTCCCGGCTTGGGGAGTCGGAACTCGCCGCTTGCTCGCTACCGGCGAAGGCTTTGCGGGGGCGATGACGGAGCCCGGAGGCGGTGCGACCTCTTGGATGTGCGCGGTGGCGATTTCGGCCCTCCTCGTTGCCGCGGCAGTTTCCTTCGTTCACCCGCGGGGTCGTTCACCCGGGTCCCCCCCCCCCGCCCCGCCGGTTTGGGCGGGGGCGGGGAGGGGAGGGTCTCCTCGTCAGACGTCCTCCTCCTCGTCCTCGTCCTCGTCGGCTTCTCCCTGCGGCCATGCCCCGGCACGATGATTTCCCCGCTTCTGACGCCCATTCGCTCTTGTCCTGGGGAAGGATTCTTTATGAAGGAGGCTCGTTGCCCTCCCTCCCTCCCTCCTGCCGCGAACGGGCGAAGACCCCGCCGCAAATGGCCACGAGCCTCCCTTGCGTATGGATAGTCCCCCCCCCCCTTCCCCCTCCCCGACTTAACGGCGGGGTCCGGCTTGCGATATTTCGACGGCGATGCGGTCAAAATGGTTGAAATGTTTCAAATTTCGCGCGGCAGGCAGACCCAGCGGCGGCGAGCGGGTACGGTTACGTAGCTTCGGCGACACGTTCGGTGCATGTTGACAGGTTGTTTTTTTTCCCCACTATTGGAATTGCGGTTCGCATAGGTAGGCTAAGAATTGACCTTGTTTATTTGCTTAACATTTTACCGTGCAATGCAGTGTTGTAATTAATTAATTAATACATGCAGTATATAGTTTGTACAGTACGGTGCTGTAAATTAGCTCTGTTTTTGCTCGATTATCGCCATTCTTTAAGGCTGAGGCCATCTTCGACTTAACGATATTTTTTGACTTAGGTGTTTGTGGTCGTAACAGGGACGCCCCTGTGTACGATGCGTGGCCACGCCCATGTCCGGTGGCCACGCCCATGTCCGGTGGCCACGCCCATGTCCGGTGGCCACGCCCATGTCCGGAGGCCACGCCCATGTCCGGTGGCCACGCCCATGTCCGGTGGCCACGCCCCTATTCCCCCAACCTTCTCGCTGGCCCTAGACCACGCTCTACAGGTTGACTCCACTGTCCCATTACATCACCTGGCCACGCCCATGTCCGGTGGCCACGCCCATGTCCGGTGGCCACGCCCATTTCCGGTGGCCACGCCCATGTCCGGTGGCCACGCCCATGTCCGGTGGCCACGCCCCTATTCCCCCAACCTTCTCGCTGGCCCGAGACCATGCTCTACAGGTTGACTTCACTGTCCCATTACGTCACCTGGCCACGCTCATGACCGGTGGCCACGCCCATGACCGGTGGCCACGCCCATGTCTGGTGGCCACGCCCCTATTTTCGATCATTGTGGCCACCAGTCCACTCGTGCTGTAGGTTGACTCTATTGTCATTACAGTAGTGATGGTAGTCGTAGTGGTGGTGTAGGTAGTGATGGTAGTCGTAGTGGTGGTGGTGTAGGTAGTGATGGTGGTAGTGGTGGTGGTGTAGGTAGTGATGGTGGTAGTAGTGGTGGTGTAGGTAGTGATGGTGGTGTAGGTAGTGATGGTGGTAGTGGTGGTGGTGTAGGTAGTGATGGTGGTAGTGATGGTGGTGTAGGTAGTGATGGTGGTAGTGGTGGTGGTGTAGGTAGTGATGGTGGTAGTGATGGTGGTGTAGGTAGTGATGGTGGTGTAGGTAGTGATGGTGGTAGTGGTGGTGGTGTTAATAGTGATATGATGGTAGTAGTAGTGGTGGTGGTGGTAGTGATGGTAGTAGTGGTGTTGGTGGTAGTGATATGATGGTGGTAGTGGTGGTGGTGTTAATAGTGATATGATGGTAGTAGTAGTAGTGGTGGTGGTGGTGATTTTAGTAGTGGTGTTGGTGGTAGTGATATGATGGTAGTGATGGTGGTAGTGGTGGTGGTAGTGATATGATGGTAGTAGTAGTGGTGGTGGTGGTAGTGATGGTAGTAGTGGTGTTGGTGGTAGTGATATGATGGTAGTGATGGTGGTAGTGGTGGTGAGTGTGGAGAGAGCGTGGAACTGAGTAGTCATTTTATCTGGCTGAACCCATCATCATCACCACCCTCACTCCGTGTTCCCACACAGACGACTTTGACTTGGGGATGAGTGGTGACCTCAACGGAGACATGTACAAGGTACAGAGACCTCACCACTACTAACACCACCACTTCTACTCACCACTAATATCACATCACCACTACTACTACTACTTACCATCACTACTACCATCACTACCACTACTACTCACCACCACTACTACTCACCACTAATATCACATCACCACCACCACCACCACTACTTCTTACCATCACTACTACCATCACTACGACTACTAACACCACCACTACTCACCACTACTATCACATCACCACCGTCACCACTACCATCACCACTATCATCACCACTGCCACTACTAACACCACCATTACTACTCACCACTAATATCACATCACCACCACCACTACTACTGCTTAACATCACTACTACCATCACTACTACTCACCACCACTACTCACCACCACTATCACATCACCACTATCATCACCACTACTAACACCACCACTACTCACCACTACTATCACATCACCACCCTCACCACTACCATCACCGCCATTACTACTCACCACTAATATCACATCACCACCACCACCACTACTACTGCTTACCATCACTACTGCCATCACTACGACTACTAACACCACCACCACTACTCACCACTACTATCACATCACCACCGTCACCACTACCGTCACCACCATCATCACCACTACCACTACTAACACCACCATTACTACTCACCACTAATATCATCACCACCACTACTGCTTACCATCACTACTACCATCACTACCACTACTACTCACCACTACTATCAACGTCACCACTACCATCACCGCCATCATCACCACTACTAACACCACCACTACTACTCACCACTACTATCAACATCACCACCGTCACCACTACCATCACCACTACCACTACTAACACCACCATTACTACTCACCACTAATATCACATCACCACCACCACTACTACTGCTTACCATCACTACTACCATCACTACCACTACTACTCACCACCACTACTCACCACCACTATCACATCACCACTATCATCACCACTACTAACACCACCATTACTACTCACCACTAATATCACATCACCACCACCACTACTACTGCTTACCATCACTACTACCATCACTACCACTACTACTCACCACCACTACTCACCACCACTATCACATCACCACTATCATCACCACTACTAACACCACCATTACTACTCACCACTAATATCACATCACCACCACCACTACTACTGCTTACCATCACTACTACCATCACTACCACTACTACTCACCACCACTACTCACCACCACTATCACATCACCACTATCATCACCACTACTAACACCACCACTACTCACCACTAATATCACATCACCACCACTACTACTACTGCTTACCATCACTACTACCATCACTACGACTACTAACACCACCACTACTACTCACCACTACTATCACATCACCACCGTCACCACTACCGTCACCACCATCACCACTACTCACCGCTTCTCACCACCACCACTACTACTCCACTACTATCACATTACCACCACCACTACTCACCACCACTACTCAACAATACTATCACCACCACCACCACCACTACCACCGCTACCACCACAACTGCTACTACTCACCATTACTACTATTACTACCATCACCACTACTACTACTCACCACTACTACCACCACCACCACTACTACCATCACCACCACTACCATCACCACTACTACCATCACTACTACCATCACCACCACTACCATCACCACTACTACTACTCACCACTACTACCATCACCACCACTACCTTCACCACCACTACCATCACTACTACCATCACCACCACTACCATCACCACCACTACCATCACCACCACTACCATCACCACCACTACCATCACCACTACTACCACCAACACTACCATCACTACTACCATCACCACCACTACCATCACCACCACTACCATCACCACCACTACCTTCACCACCACTACCATCACCACCACTACCATCACTACTACCATCACCACCACTACCATCACCACTACTACCACCACCACTACCATCACTACTACCATCACCACCACTACCTTCACCACCACTACCATCACTACTACCATCACCACCACTACCATCACCACCACTACCATCACCACCACTACCATCACCACCACTACCATCACTACCACTACCACCACTACTACCATCACTACTACCATCACCACCACTATCATCACCACCACTACCATCACCACCACTACCATCACCACCACTACCATCACCACCACTACCATCACTACCACCACTACCATCACCACCACTACCATCAACACCAACACTACCATCACTACTACCATCACCACCACTACCATCAACACCACTACCATCACCACTACATTGTGAGTGAGTGTGGTTGGTGAGTGTGGTGAGTGAATGGTGAGTGAGTGAGTAGTGAGTGAGTGAGTAGTGAGTGGTGTAGTGAGTGACTGGTGAGTGAGTAGTGAGTGAGTGGTGTAGTGAATGAGTGAGTGGTGAGTTAGTGGTGAGTGAGTGAGTGTAGTGAGTGAGTGGTAAGTGAGTGGTGAGTGAGTGGTGAGTGTCTCCCACAGGACGCTAATGGCCCATCCACAGCTGGTGGTGGAGGTGGTGGCCGTGGTGAGTGAGTGGTGTAGTGAGTGAGTGAGTGGTGTAGTGAGTGGTGAGTGAGTGGTGAGTGAGTGAGTGGTGAGTGAGTGAGTAGTGTAGTGAGTGGTGTAGTGAATGAGTGAGTGGTGTAGCGAGTGAGTGAGTAGTGAGTGAGTGGTGTAGTGAGTGAGTGAGGAGTGAGTGAGTGGTGTAGTGAATGAGTGAGTGGCGTAGTGAGTGAGTGAGTGGTGTAGTGAGTGTGGTGAGTGAGTGTGGTGAGTGAGTGTAGTGAATGAGTGAGTAGTGAGTGAGGAGTGAGTGAGTGGTGTAGTGAGTGTGGTGAGTGTCTCCCACAGGACGCTAATAGCCCATCCACAGCTGGTGGTGGAGGTGGTGGTCGTGGTGAGTGAGTGGTGTAGTGAGTGAGTGAGTGGTGTAGTGAGAGTGGTGTAGTGAGTGGTGAGTGGTGTAGTGAGTGAGTGAGTGGTGTAGTGAATGAGTGAGTGGTGTAGTGAGTGAGTGGTGTAGTGAGTGAGTGAGTGGCTTAGTGAGTGAGTGAGTGGTGTAGTGAGTGTGGTGAGTGAGTGTGGTGAGTGAGTGAGTGTAGTGAATGAGTGAGTAGTGAGTGTAGTGAATGAGTAAGTGTGGTGAGTGAGTGTGGTGAGTGTCTCCCACAGGATGCTAATGGCCCATCCACAGCTGGTGGTGGTGGTGGTGGTCGTGGTGAGTGAGTGGTGAGTGAGTGGTGAGTGAGTGGTGAGTGAGTGGTGAATGAGTGTGGTGTAGTGAGTAGTGAGTGTGTTGAGTGAGTGAGTAGTGAGTGAGTAGTGAGTGTGAGTGAGTGAGTGGTGAGTGAGTGTGGTGAGTGTCTCCCACAGGACGCTAATGGCCCATCCACAGCTGGAGGTGGTCGTGGTGGTCGTGGTGAGTGAGTGGTGTAGTGAGTGTGGTGAGTGAGTGAGTGGTGAGTGTGGTGAGTGAGTGTGATGAGTGTCTCCCACAGGACGCTAATGGCCCATCCACAGCTGGTGGTGGAGGTGGTGGTCGTGGTGAGTGAGTGGTGTAGCGAGTGAGTGAGTGGTGTAGTGAGTGTAGTGAGTGAGTGAGTGGTGTAGTGAGTGAGTGAGTGTGGTGAGTGAGTGGTGAGTGAGTAGTGTAGTGGGTGAGTCTAGTGAGTGGTGAGTGAGTGGTGAGTGAGTGTAGTGAGTGTGGTGAGTGTCTCCCACAGGACGCTAATGGCCCATCCACAGCTGGTGGTGGTGGTGGAGGTGGTCTTGGTGAGTGAGTGGTGTAGTGAGTGAGTGAGTGGTGTAGTGAATGAGTGAGTGGCGTAGTGAGTGAGTGAGAGTGGTGAGTGAGTGTGGTGAGTGGTGAGTGAGTGGTGTAGTGAGTGAGTGGTGTAGTGAATGAGTGGTGAGTAGTGAGTGTGGTGAGTGGTGTAGTGAGTGGTGTAGCGAGTGAGTGAGTGTGGTGGTGGTCGTGGTGTAGTGAGTGGTGTAGTGGGTGGTGAGTGTGGTGAGTGAGTGTGGTGAGTGTCTCCCACAGGACGCTAATGGCCCATCCACAGCTGGAGGTGGTGGAGGTGGTGGCCGTGGTGAGTGAGTAGTGAGTGAGTGGTGAGTGAGTAGTGAGTGGTGTAGTGAGTGGTGAGTGAGTGGTGTAGTGAGTGGTGTAGTGAGTGGTGTAGTGAGTGGTGTAGTGAGTGAGTGAGTAGTGAGTGTGGTGAGTGAGTGAGTGGTGTAGTGAGTGAGTGGTGTAGTGAGTGTGGTGTAGTGAGTGTGGTAAGTGAGTGTGTGTGGGGTGAGTGAGTGGTGAGTGAGTGTGGTGAGTGAGTGGTGTAATGTGAGTGAGTGGTGTAGTGAATGAGTGAGTGGCGTAGTGAGTGAGTGGCGTAGTGAGTGAGTGGTGTAGTGAGTGTGGTGAGTGAGTGTGGTGAGTGAGTGTAGTGAATGAGTGAGTAGTGAGTGTGGTGAGTGAGTGTGGTGAGTGTCTCCCACAGGACGCTAATGGCCCATCCACAGCTGGTGGTAGTGGTCGTGGTGAGTGAGTGGTGAGTGAGTGGTGAATGAGTGGTGAGTGAGTGGTGAGTGAGTGGTGAGTGAGTGTGGTGTAGTGAGTAGTGAGTGTGGTGAGTGAGTGAGTGGTGAGTGAGTGGTGTAGTGAGTGAGTGGTGTAGTGAGTGAGTGAGTGGTGATGTGAGTAGTGAGTGTGGTGAGTGAGTGGTGAGTGAGTGTGGTGAGTGTCTCCCACAGGATGCTAATGGCCCATCCACAGCTGGAGGTGGTCATGGTGAGTGAGTGGTGTAGTGAGTGATTGGTGAGTGAGTGTGGTGTAGTGAGTAGTGAGTGTGGTAAGTGAGTGAGTGAGGGTGAGTGAGTGGTGTAGTGAGTGAGTAGTGAGTGAGTGAGTGGTGAGTAGTGAGTGAGTGAGTGGTGAGTAGTGAGTGAGTGTGGTGAGTGAGTGAGTAGTGAGTGGTGTAGTGAGTGAGTGGTGTAGTGAGTGAGTAGTGAGTGTGGTGAGTGAGTGAGTGAGTAGTGAGTGTGGTGAGTGAGTGAGGGGTGAGTGAGTGGTGAGTGAGTGAGTAGTGAGTGTGGTGAGTGAGTGAGTGGTGAGTGAGTGAGTGGTGTAGTGAGTGTGGTGAGTGTCTCCCACAGGACGCTAATGGCCCATCCACAGCTGGAGGTGGTGGCCGTGGTGAGTGAGTGGTGTAGTGAGTGAGTGGTGTGGTGTGGTGAGTGTGGTGAGTGAGTGGTGAGTGAGTGAGTGAGGGGTGAGTGAGTGGTGAGTGTGGTGAGTGAGTGAGTGGTGAGTGAGTGTGGTGAGTGTGGTGAGTGAGTGGTGAGTGAGTGGTGAGTGTGGTGAGTGAGTGGTGAGTGAGTGAGTGGTGAGTGAGTGAGTGAGGGGTGAGTGAGTGGTGAGTGTGGTGAGTGAGTGGTGAGTGAGTGTGGTGAGTGTGGTGAGTGAGTGGTGAGTGAGTGAGTGGTGAGTGTGGTGAGTGTGGTGAGTGTCTCCCACAGGACGCTAATGGCCCATCCACAGCTGGAGGTGGTCGTGGTGAGTGAGTGGTGTAGTGAGTGAGTGGTGTAGTGAGTGGTGTAGCGAGTGAGTGAGTGTGGTGAGTGAGTAGTGTGGTGAGTGAGTGGTGAGTGAGTGAGTGGTGAGTGAGTGTGGTGAGTGTCTCCCACAGGACGCTAATGGCCCATCCACAGCTGGAGGTGGTGGCCGTGGTGAGTGAGTGGTGAGTAAGTGTGGTGAGTGAGTGTGGTGAGTGAGTGGTGTAGTGAGTAGTGAGTGTGGTGAGTGAGTGAGTGTGGTGAGTGTGAGTGTGTGGTAAGTGAGTGGTGTAGTGAGTGTGGTGAGTGGTGAGTGAGTGAGTGAGTGGTGAGTGAGTGAGTGGTGAGTGAGTGGTGAGTGTGGTGAGTGAGTGGTGAGTGAGTGTCGTGAGTGTCTCCCACAGGACGCTAATGGCCCATCCACAGCTGGAGGTGGTGGCCGTGGTGAGTGAGTGGTGTAGTGAGTGAGTGGTGTAGTGAATGAGTGGTGAGTAGTGAGTGTGGTGAGTGGTGTAGTGAGTGGTGTAGCGAGTGAGTGAGTGTGGTGAGTGAGTAGTGTGGTGAGTGAGTGGTGAGTGAGTGAGTGTAGTGAGTGTGGTGAGTGTAGTGAGTGTGGTGAGTGTGGTGAGTGAGTGTGGTGAGTGAGTGGTGAGTGAGTGAGTGGTGAGTGAGTGTGGTGAGTGAGTGGTGAGTGAGTGAGTGGTGAGTGTGGTGAGTGAGTGCGTGGTGAGTGAGTGTGGTGAGTGTCTCCCACAGGACGCTAATGGCCCATCCACAGCTGGAGGTGGTGGAGGTGGTGGTCGTGGTGAGTGAGTGGTGAGTGAGTGGTGTAGTGAGTGAGTGAGTGGTGAGTGAGTGTGGTGAGTGTGGTGAGTGAGTGGTGAGTGAGTGAGTGAGTGGTGAGTGTGGTGAGTGAGTGAGTGAGTGGTGAGTGTGGTGAGTGTCTCCCACAGGACGCTAATGGCCCATCCACAGCTGGAGGTGGTGGTGGAGGTGGTCGTGATGAGTGAGTGGTGAGTGAGTGGTGTAGTGAGTGGTAAGTGTGGTGAGTGAGTGTGGTGCAGTGAGTGGTGAGTGTGGTGAGTGAGTGGTGAGTGAGTGAGTGGTGAGTGAGTAGTGTGGTGAGTGAGTGGTGAGTGAGTAGTGAGTGTGGTGAGTGAGTGAGTGGTGAGTGTGGTGAGTGAGTGTAGTGAGTGGTGAGTGAGTGGTGAGTGAGTGGTGTAGTGAGTGTAGTGAGTGTGGTGAGTGTCTCCCACAGGACGCTAATGGCCCATCCACAGCTGGAGGAGGTGGCCGTGGTGAGTGAGTGGTGAGTGGTGTAGTGAGTGAGTGGGGTAGTGAGTAGTGAGTGTGGTGAGTGAGTGAGTGGTGAGTGAGTGAGTGAGTGGTGAGTGTGGTGAGTGAGTGTGGTGAGTGTCTCCCACAGGACGCTAATGGCCCATCCACAGCTGGAGGTGGTGGCCGTGGTGAGTGAGTGAGTGGTGAGTGAGTGGTGAGTGCGTGGTGAGTAGTGTGGTGAGTGAGTGAGTGGTGAGTGAGTGAGTGGTGAGTGAGTGGTGAGTGAGTGAGTGAGTGGTGAGTAGTGAGTGAGTGAGTGGTGAGTAGTGAGTGGTGAGTAGTGAGTGAGTGAGTGGTGAGTAGTGAGTGAGTGTGGTGAGTAGTGAGTGAGTGTGGTGAGTAGTGAGTGAGTGTGGTGAGTGAGTGAGTAGTGAGTGGTGTAGTGAGTGAGTGGTGTAGTGAGTGAGTGAGTGGTGTGTGGTGAGTGAGTGGTGAGTGAGTGAGTGGTGAGTGTGGTGAGTGAGTGGTAAGTGAGTGAGTGAGTGGTGTAGTGAGTGTGGTGAGTGAGTGGTGTAGTGAGTGTGGTGAGTGTCTCCCACAGGACGCTAATGGCCCATCCATTGGAGGTGGCGGCCGTGGTTCCGACCTCCCTCCGGCACCGGAGCCGGAGTCTCTGAGGCGCTGGAGACACGAACAGAGGGAGAGGTTGGATCAGCTGGGTACGCACGGTGGGGGGGGGAGACATGGTGGGGGGGGGAGACATGGTGGGGGGAGACATGGTGGGGGGAGGAGACACGGTGGGGTGATGGAGTGAGACACGGGGTGAAGGAGTGGGTCCACACATCTGTGGTTGTGTGTGGTTGTGTGTGTGTTGGTGTGGTTGTGTGTTGTGTGTGTTGTTGTTGTTGTGTTTGTATGTTGGTGGGCTCCAGACGCGGCCTCCCGCAAGGCCGAGGCCGAGTGGAGGGTCGCCAGGGGTGGAGTGAGACACGGGGTGATGGAGTGATGGAGTGAGACACGGGTGATGGAGTGATGGAGTGAGACACGGGGTGATGGAGTGATGGAGTGAGACACGGGGTGATGGAGTGATGGAGTGAGACACGGGGTGATGGAGTGATGGAGTGAGACACGGGGTGATGGAGTGATGGAGTGAGACACGGGGTGATGGAGTGATGGAGTGAGACACGGGGTGATGGAGTGATGGAGTGAGACACGGGGTGATGGAGTGATGGAGTGAGACACGGGGTGATGGAGTGATGGAGTGAGACACGGGGTGATGGAGTGATGGAGTGAGACACGGGGTGATGGAGTGATGGAGGAGACACGGGGTGATGGAGTGATGGAGTGAGACACGGGGTGATGGAGTGATGGAGTGAGACACGGGGTGATGGAGTGATGGAGTGAGACACGGGGTGATGGAGTGATGGAGTGAGACACGGGGTGATGGAGTGATGGAGTGAGACACGGGTGATGGAGTGATGGAGTGAGACACGGGGTGATGGAGTGATGGAGTGAGACACGGGGTGATGGAGTGATGGAGTGAGACACGGGGTGATGGAGTGATGGAGTGAGACACGGGGTGATGGAGTGAGACACGGGGTGATGGAGTGATGGAGTGAGACACGGGGTGATGGAGTGATGGAGTGAGACACGGGGTGATGGAGTGATGGAGTGAGACACGGGGTGATGGAGTGATGGAGTGAGACACGGGGTGATGGAGTGATGGAGTGAGACACGGGGTGATGGAGTGATGGAGTGAGACACGGGGTGATGGAGTGATGGAGTGAGACACGGGGTGATGGAGTGATGGAGTGAGACACGGGGTGATGGAGTGATGGAGTGAGACACGGGGTGATGGAGTGATGGAGTGAGACACGGGGTGATGGAGTGATGGAGTGAGACATGGGGTGATGGAGTGATGGAGTGAGACACGGGGTGATGGAGTGATGGAGTGAGACACGGGTGATGGAGTGATGGAGTGAGACACGGGGTGATGGAGTGATGGAGTGAGACACGGGGTGATGGAGTGATGGAGTGAGACACGGGGTGATGGAGTGATGGAGTGAGACACGGGGTGATGGAGTGATGGAGTGAGACACGGGGTGATGGAGTGATGGAGTGAGACACGGGGTGATGGAGTGATGGAGTGAGACACGGGGTGATGGAGTGATGGAGTGAGACACGGGGTGATGGAGTGATGGAGTGAGACACGGGGTGATGGAGTGATGGAGTGAGACACGGGGTGATGGAGTGATGGAGTGAGACACGGGGTGATGGAGTGATGGAGTGAGGACACGGGGTGATGGAGTGATGGAGTGAGACACGGGTGATGGAGTGATGGAGTGAGACACGGGGTGATGGAGTGATGAGTGAGACACGGGGTGATGGAGTGATGGAGTGAGACACGGGGTGATGGAGTGATGGAAGTGAGGACACGGGGTGATGGAGTGATGGAGTGAGACACGGGGTGATGGAGTGATGGAGTGAGACACGGGGTGATGGAGTGATGGAGTGAGACACGGGGTGATGGAGTGATGGAGTGAGACACGGGGGTGCTGGAGTGATGGAGTGAGACACGGGGTGATGGAGTGATGGAGTGAGACACGGGGTGATGGAGTGATGGAGTGAGACACGGGGTGATGGAGTGATGGAGTGAGACACGGGGTGATGGAGTGATGGAGTGAGACACGGGGTGATGGAGTGATGGAGTGAGACACGGGGTGATGGAGTGATGGAGTGAGACACGGGGTGATGGAGTGATGGAGTGAGACACGGGGTGATGGAGTGATGGAGTGAGACACGGGGTGATGGAGTGATGGAGTGAGACACGGGGTGATGGAGTGATGGAGTGAGACACGGGGTGATGGAGTGATGGAGTGAGACACGGGGTGATGGAGTGATGGAGTGAGACACGGGGTGATGGAGTGATGGAGTGAGACACGGGGTGATGGAGTGGTGGAGTGAGACACGGGGGTGATGGAGTGATGGAGTGAGACACGGGGGTGATGGAAGTGATGGAGTGAGACACGGGGTGATGGAGTGATGGAGTGAGACACGGGGTGATGGAGTGATGGAGTGAGACACGGGGTGATGGAGTGATGGAGTGAGACACGGGGTGATGGAGTGATGGAGTGAGACACGGGGTGATGGAGTGATGGAGTGAGACACGGGGTGATGGAGTGATGGAGTGAGACACGGGGTGATGGAGTGATGGAGTGAGACACGGGGTGATGGAGTGATGGAGTGAGACACGGGGTGATGGAGTGATGGAGTGAGACACGGGGTGATGGAGTGATGGAGTGAGACACGGGGTGATGGAGTGATGGAGTGAGACACGGGGTGATGGAGTGATGGAGTGAGACACGGGGTGATGGAGTGATGGAGTGAGACACGGGTGATGGAGTGATGGAGTGAGACACGGGTGATGGAGTGATGGAGTGAGACACGGGGTGATGGAGTGATGGAGTGAGACACGGGGTGATGGAGTGATGGAGTGAGACACGGGGTGATGGAGTGATGGAGTGAGACACGGGTGATGGAGTGATGGAGTGAGACACGGGGTGATGGAGTGATGGAGTGAGACACTGGGTGATGGAGTGATGGAGTGAGACACGGGGTGATGGAGTGATGGAGTGGAGACACGGGGTGATGGAGTGATGGAGTGAGACACGGGGTGATGGAGTGATGGAGTGAGACACGGGGTGATGGAGTGATGGAGTGAGACACGGGGTGATGGAGTGAGACACGGGGTGATGGAGTGATGGAGTGAGACACGGGGTGATGGAGTGATGGAGTGAGACACGGGGTGATGGAGTGAGACACGGGGTGATGGAGTGATGGAGTGAGACACGGGGTGATGGAGTGATGGAGTGAAGACACGGGGTGATGGAGTGAGACACGGGGTGAGGAGTGGGACCACACATCTGTGGTTGTGTGGTTGTGTGAGGTTGTGTGTTGGTGTGGTTGTGATTGTGTGTGATTGTGTGAGGTTGTATGTTGGTGTGGGTTGTGATTGTGTGTGTTGGTGTTGTTGTGTTTGTGTGTTGGTGGGCTCCAGACGCGGCCTCCCGCAAGGCCGAGTCCGAGTGGAGGGAGCGCGCCAAGCGGGAGCTGGACGAGTGGAGGGGTCGCCAGGGGGAGCAGCTGGAGAAGACTCGACGCAAACAACCGGTACAGCCGCAGCCACCACCACCAACAACCACAACCACAACCACTATCACCACTACTACCACAGCCACCCACCACCAACACAACAACAACCATCACCACTACTACCACAGCCACCACCACCAACACAACAACAACCATCACCACTACTACCACAGCCACCACCACCAACACAACAACAACCATCACCACTACTACCACAGCCACCACCACCAACACAACCACTACCATCACCACTACTACCACAGCCACCACCACCAACACAACAAACAACCAGCACCACTACTACCACAGCCACCACCACCAACACAACAACCATCACCACTACTACCCACAGCCACCACCAACAACACAACAACAACCATCACCACTACTACCACAGCCACCACCACCACACAACAACAACCATCACCACTACTACCACAGCCACCACCAACAACACAACAACAACCATCACTACCACAACCACTACCATCACAACCACTACCATCACAACCACTACCATCACAACCACTACCATCACAACCACTACCATCACAACCACCAACACCACCACCACTACCATCACTACCACAACCACCAACACCACCACTACCATCACTACCACAACCACCAACACCACCACTACCATCACTACCACAACCACCAACACCACCACTACCATCACTACCACAACCACCAACACCACCACTACCATCACTACCACAACCACCAACACCAACACAACAACCATCACCAGCATCACAACTACCATCACCACCACAACCACCACAACTATCACTACCACTACCATCACCACCACTATCACCACTACCACAACCACCAACACAACAACAACCATCACCAGCATCACAACTAACCATCACCACCACAACCATCACTACCATCACCACCACTATCACCATCACCACCACCAACAACACAACAACAACCATCACCAGCATCACAACTACCATCACCACCACAACCATCACTACCACTACCATCACCACCACTATCACCATCACCACTACCATCACTACCACAACCACCACCACCAACACAACCACTACCATCACCAGCATCACAACTACCATCACCACCAACAACACCACAACAACCACCAACACCACAACCACCACCAACACAACAACCATCACCACTAGCACAACCAGCAACACCACCACAACCACCACTACCATCACCATCACAACCACCAAGCATCACCACAACCACCACCACCAACACAACAACCACAACCACCACCACCAACACAACAACCACAACCCACCATCACCGCCACCACTACCATCACCACTACCACCAACAACACCACAAACATCACCACCACCACCACCACTACACCACCCACCACAACCACCAACACAACCATCACCAACACAACCATCACCAACACCACCACCACAACCACTACCAGCATCACCACAACCACTACCATCACCACCAGCATCACCACAACCTCCAACACAACCACCACAACCAACACAACCACTACCACAACCAACACAACCACCACCATCACCACAACCACCAACACAACCACCATCACCACAACCACCACAACCACCATCACCACAACCACCACTACCACCAGCATCACCAGCATCACCACAACCACCACTACCATCACCACAACCACCACCACCAACACAACCACCACAACCACCACTACCACAACCACCATCACCACAACCACCACTACCACAACCACCAGCATCACCACAACCACCACTATCATCACCACAACCACCACCACCACCACAACCACCATCACCACAACCATCACCACCACCACAACCACCACCACTACCACAACCATCGGTACCAACACCACCACGACCAGTACCACCACCACCACCAGAACAACCGAAACAACTACCACTCACCCACCCACCCACTCACCACCCACCCACTCACCCACCCACCCTCTCACCCACCCACTCACCCACCCACCCACCACCTACTCACCCACCCCACTCACTCCCCACCCACTCACCCACCCACTCACCCACCCACTCACCCACCCACTCACCACCCAGTCACTCACCCACTCTGCACTCACTCACTCACCCTACACTCACCCTACACTCACACTCACCCCCACTCACCCTGTCTCTCACCCTGTCACTCACCCTGTCACTCACCCTACACTCACCCTGTCTCTCACCCTGTCACTCACCCTGTCACTCACCCTACACTCACCCTACACTCACCCTGTCTCTCACCCTGTCACTCACCCTACACTCCCCTACACTCACCCTACACTCACCCTGTCACTCACCCTGTCACTCACCCTGTCACTCACCCTACACTCACCCTGTCACTCACCCTGTCACTCACCCTGTCACTCACCCTGTCACCACCCTACACCCCCCTCACCTCGCCCTGTCACTCACCCGTCACTCCCCTGTCACTCACCCTGTCACTCACCCTGTCACTCACGCTACACTCACCTACACTCACCCTACACTCACCCTGTCACTCACCTGTCACTCACCCTGTCACTCACCTACACTCACCCTACACTCACCCTGTCACTCACCTACACTCACCCTACACTCACCCTACACTCACCCCGTCACTCACCCTGTCACTCACCCTACACTCACCCTACACTCACCCTGTCACTCACCCTGTCACTCACCCTACACTCACCCTGTCACTCACCCTGTCACTCACCTGTCGCTCACCCTACACTCACCCTGTCACTCACCCTGTCACTCACCTGTCACTCACCCTACACTCACCCTACACTCACCCTGTCACTCACCCTGTCACTCACCCTGTCACTCACCCTGTCACTCACCCTGTCACTCACCCTACACTCACCCTACACTCACCCTGTCACTCACCCTGTCACTCACCCTGTCACTCACCCTGACACTCACCCTACACTCACCCTACACTCACCCTGTCACTCACCCTGTCACTCACCCTGTCACTCACCCTACACTCACCCTACACTCACCCTACACTCACCCTGTCACTCACCCTACACTCACCCTACACTCACCCTACACTCACCCTGTCACTCACCCTACACTCACCCTACCTCACCCTGTCACTCACCCTACACTCACCCTACACTCACCCTGTCACTCACCCTGTCACTCACCCTACACTCACCCTGTCACTCACCCTACCTCACCCTGTCACCCTGTCACTCACCCTGTCACTCACCTGTCACTCACCCTGTCACTCACCGTGTCACTCACCCTGTCACTCACCCTGTCACTCACCCTGTCACTCACCCTGTCACTCACCCTGTCACCCTGTCACTCACCCTGTCACTCACCCTCTCACTCTCCCTCTCACTCACCCTGTCACTCACCCTGTCACTCACCCTGTCACTCACCCTGTCACTCACCCTACACTCACCCTACACTCACCCTGTCACTCACCCTGACACTCACCCTGTCACTCACCTGTCACTCACCCTGTCACTCACCCTACACTCACCCTGTCACTCACCCTACACTCACCCTACACTCACCCTGTCACCCTGTCACACCCTGTCACTCACCCTGTCACTCACCCTACACTCACCCTGTCACTCACCCTACACTCCCTGTCACTCACCCTGTCACTCACCCTGTCACTCACCCTGTCACTCACCCTACACTCACCCTACACTCACCCTGACACTCACCCTGTCACTCACCCTGTCACTCACCTGTCACTCACCCTGACACTCACCTGTCACTCACCCTGTCACTCACCCTGTCACTCACCATGCACTTACCTACACTCACCCTGTCACTCACCCTACACTCACCTGTCACTCACCTGTCACTCACCCTACACTCAACCTGTCCTCACCCTACACTCACCACACTCACCTGTCACTCACCCTACACTACCCTGTCACTCACCCTGTCCACTCACCCTGTCACTCTATCACTCACCCTGTCACCTCACCCTGTCACTCACCCTGTCACTCACCCTGTCACTCACCCCGTCACTCACTCCGTCACTCACCCTGTCACTCACCCTGTCACTCACCCTGTCACTCACCCTGTCACCCTGTCACTCACCCTGTCACTCACCCTGTCACCCTGTCACCCTGTCACTCACCCTGTCACTCACCCTGTCACCCTGTCACTCACCCTGTCACTCACCCTGTCACCCTGTCACTCACCCTGTCACTCACCCTGTCACTCACCCACTCACTCACCCTGTCATTCACCCTGTCACCCTGTCACTCACCCTGTCACTCACCCTGTCACCCTGTCACTCACCCTGTCACTCACCCTGTCACCCTGTCACTCACCCTGTCACCCTGTCACTCACCCTGTCACTCACCCTGTCACCCTGTCACTCACCCTGTCACTCACCCTGACACCCTGTCACTCACCCTGTCACTCACCCTGTCACTCACCTGTCACCCTGTCACTCACCCTGTCACTCACCCTGTCACTCACCCTGTCACTCACCCTGTCACTCACCCTGTCACTCACCCTCTCACCTCCGCTAACTCGCAACTTTCCCTCCCTCTCCGCCTGTGATCTCTGCCTCTCTCTCCCTCCCTCTCCTCCACCGCTGACACGGATCTATGGCGTGCCCACACGCGTGTCGGCATCGCGTGCAAAAATCCTTGCACCACGCGTGCCAACTTGTGGTACCGCATGTGTGCCAACCCCTGTGCCAACCCCTGTGCCAACCCTTGTGCCAACCCCTGTGCCACGCGTGTGCCACGCGTGTGCCACGCGTGTGCGTAGCGTGGCTGACGAGGCGTTCTTGAGCAGCCAAACGCTCACGTCATTGGCTACATGTGTGTGCTCCCAGCCTGAACACGCAGACCAGACACACTCACACTCACACACATTCACAGACAGACGCACTCACACACATTCACTCACACAACATTCACACACACACACACACAGACACACACACACAGACACACACACACAGACACACACACACAGACACACACACACACACAGATACACACACACAGACACACACACAGACACACACACACACAGACACACACACACACA